ATTCTTCTTTGGCGTCTTGGATTTTGGGGTCTCGGGCTTTGATGTCTTTGATTTTGGGGTTTTTGATTCTGGCGACTTCATCTCGTGGGATTTAACGGGAGATTTGACCTTTGCCTCCAAATCCTCTGGATAGATGCTACCTTCGGCGTTGTCGAAGAGAGTTTGATCGCCCTTGCCACCCATCTCAATGAACTCATTTGGATCCCGTTGAGCTGCTGGGACTTCTTCATTCTTGGTTCCGTTTTGCGTAGAGTCTTGTTGAGTTGAGGGCTGGTTGATACAATTAGACTTAGCATTTGGATTTTTGACGTATACCTTGACAGGGTCTTTGTCAGAGTTGATGTGAATGATCTTGGAAACCTTGACCTCGTTGATGTCGCTGAGTAGTGTTCTCTCTCTTACGATCTTACGCTTGCTAAAGTCAAGACCTGCAAGTCCACCGACTAAACCGTCTGTGCTATCATGAACATTGAGAGTCTTCTGAGTCATCCATGGATGCGCCAAGCACTCATCAACACTATAGCGCTGCTCCGGGTCGACTGTCAACATGTGATCAATGAGATCCAATGCTGGATCCCCGATACTGTCCCAGTATGGAGAAGGATAGTCAAATCTACCGAGCTTGATCTGGGCTTTGAGGTCATAAGGATTGTCCCTGGAATACAATTCATCGGAAAAGGGTGGGAATCCACAGAGGCATATGTATAGAACAACTCCTAATGACCAAATATCAACTGCACGAGTGTATCTTCGATGGTTGTTGTCTTGGAGGATTTCCGGGGCTACGTAGCTTGGGGTACCACAAAGCGTTGTCGTAAAAGACGCCTCTCCAATAATTTTTGAGAGACCAAAGTCTGCAAGTTTTACATGCAAATCTTCATCTGTCATCAAAATGTTCTCTGGTTTGATATCTCTGTGTACGATACCACGTTCATGCTATTAATGGTTGGTTAGCTAGAGGCAATGAAATGACGTTAGGACAAACACTCACCAGGTACTTCAAGCCTTCAAACAACTGAACGAAGACCTTTCTTGTTTCTTGTTCTGTAAGTTTGGCCTTTTTGACAATCCAGTTAAATAATTCTCCTTCCGCTGCGAGCTCTAGGACCAGGTAAGTTGCGCCAGGTTCATCAAAAGTATCTTTTAAGCATAGAATGTTTGGATGACTGACGCCCATTAGTATTGCAATTTCTTGCTGCAAACCTTCAATCCTTTGTTTTTCTCCGACGCCGGGCTTTCTTGTAAAGACTTTGACAGCGAAACGTTGACCTGTAGCCCTTTCGACGCATAAGTAAACGGTTGCATAATGACCCGACCCAAGTTTTTCTAGAAGTAGGTATTTCTGCAAAAATTTGCTGGTTTCGCGCAATTTCGGGTATCGAAAGACAAATCTGACATCATTTACTACTTCTATTTCATCTCCGTCTTCGAGTTGGCGACGCTTATTTCGTCCAATCATACTCTCTTTGATGAAGGTACCATTGCTTGATAGATCCTCAACGAATGCAACGTTTAGACCTTCTTGATTTTCGGTGAAAATGAGACAATGTCTATTGGAGACCTTGATATCATCGATGTTGAGATCTAGAAAAATTGTTAGTGCCACACTTTTGTGTCAGATTGGCTGGGCTTCACTTACCACACTCCGGATGTCGTCCGATCAAGTATCCTCCGGAAGCAATGCCTTTGAATTTAGTAGCTTCATAGGCTTCTTCTTCCTTATTCAAATCTTTGCCTTTACGAGGGTTTCCAAGATCACTGTCTTTGTCTGGCAACGGACATGCATTTCTTCTCCTCAAGACAAGACGTCTTCCATACTTGTAATTGAGAGGCATCAAGTATCCCCAAACACCTTCCTCTTCCTCATCTTCAACCTGACTTGACAATGTGGTTGCGTCTCTTTGTGATTGGCTCAACTCTTGAGTTTTTGCTTGGGAGTATCGAGCGGGAGACGACAAAGCTTGGGAATCCTTAAGGAAACGTTCACTTGGTTCTGGCGTTCGGTGCTGGATCTGGCTTGGTCGACCCTCTGGTGGTGTTGCGGTGCCATCTCTTAGATTATCACTAGAAGAAGAGCCTTGATGGGTAACTGGGGAAGGAAGGTGCTGCTTATTCGAGATTGGAGTATGACCCGGTTGTGAGTGTCTTTCTGATCGGCGCGGCTTCTTGTATGATTCGCTCTCTTCGATCGTTCCTACCTACGTTGAGATTATGTCAGCCTTTTCGAACTTCATAAACTATGAGGAAAGAGCGATTTTCTTACTCTATCGCGCTTTAAATTGCCTTTGCCTGTTTCTGAAGGCATCTTGACACAAATTGAAGGTCAGTTCGAGTTTTGATCGATTTGAAGTACTATATTTCGAAGAAAGTGCAAGAGTCAAAAGATTGAAGTGAGCGGAGGCGTTGGGATTCTGCAGATCTTGCAAATGCTTTAATTTTTGATAAAAGTAATTGTGTAATAATTAGCAATTCAAATCGATTATCAGTATTTTTTTGGCGAGGAGTATATTTTCTTTTGATTAGGGAGTCGGAATTAATTGTTGGATTCATTCTTTTCGATAGGTAATCAGAGGGACTAGGTACTCCAGATCTTCTCTATGCCATACTAGGAATACTAGGAATATGGGCTCGGCCGCTCGGGGTAGAATGAACTGGGGACCTTTACTGCCTAGAAGTGATAGAAAAATGTGTCGATCGTATCGATATACCGGTATTCACATAAACCCCACCAGCTGCAGAGGAGGATCTACTTGAGTATTCACTTGTCACAAAGAGGGTGGCATTTTATTTTTTATATTTGAGATATTATCTCTGGTGAATTGGCATGGCAGTATCACAAAAGAGAATGTTCTCAAGGCAACAATCCACACTATCTACCTAGTTAAGTATTTTGGGTGCGAAGAGGGGAAAGGAGAAATCCGTGTATTGACTGATATTGGCAATGAGATTGATGGTATTGCTATCAGTAGGTATTCGTACCAACTTCTCACCTACCTCGTACAATTTCAACACTTTTGCTAGTTATATGATCGAACATGATCTACGAGTACAAAATAGCATAAACATCAGTAGGCTTCTACGCACGGGCAAACTTCATGTTCATTCTATATAAAAATCTCTGTTTCCCCATGTTGAGTGGAACTGAGACTAATAATGAATGTGGATATCATATACATGTATGCCATATGGCCAGTGGGGGTAAAGATTTAAGCCACGAGTAAGATATTTCGAGGTGGAATTTAGGTCAGAGGGCTAGATTTTTTCTAATTCTTCGCCCTCGCTACATTCAATATCATCAAATATCCCGAGAGCCTCAATCCAAATTCTAATTTGAATCGTTACCCTTCAATCTGGGGTTAGTCAAATACAATATCTCGTGATATATGTGCATGCTCGGGTCTTGTGGAAACACGAGTAGTATAAACAATATCAGAAGGAATCCCAATGAGTCTGCTGGACTATTGTAAAACATAGTCTCTGAGTCTCTTGTCATCTGATATCAACCAAGGCTCTCCACCCCGGGACTTTATGATGATGATGAAATCTCGAGTGTTCCAAGTGTCCCAAGGTCTTTCCTTCAATCGATCGCAGACTTTTTAAGTAAAGACTTAAAATCGTACGTGGTCCTCAAGTCGAAGCTTGAAACGTCTTGTTGTAGTTTTGAACGGATCTTCGCAATAGGCCGTGAATCTCAACTCTCGAATCTTGTCTTTCTCTTGACGCCTTGCGTGTTTGATGGATTGGACCTGCCCTTATCGAGCCCCGCCATGATTCGTTCGGCAGTGCTTTTTTGTCCCTTCCCATTAATGCTACTAGTATTTGAAATCGCACTGCGAGTTTCGCCCGAGGCCGTTGCAGGTACGAAATCCAGGGCTTCCCTTTGACCTCGAGCTTTCTTTTCTTCTCTTTCCTTCAAGATTTTTTGTTGGCTTTTCGCGAGTTCCTCCTTGTAAGCATGCTCTGGGAATCCAGCCGGATTCCATAGATCCTGAGGAAGGATTGTTGCATATTGTTCCGCCTCGTCAATATCCGCGAAGTCCATGAGCTTCTGCATCAAACTCGGGTTTTTGAGCGCCGCTGACTTTGCAAGCTTTTCATTGAAATGTGTACCCTGCTTTTTAAGTTCGAGGAAATGCTTAAATTTCGCATTCGTACTGGCTACTGGTGAGCCTGGGGGTGAAGGGGGAATATCGTAATTAGGAACTGTTGGAAGGGTAAGATCTCGTAACAAAGCTCGATTCGCGGAGTATGGTGACTGTGGTTCTCCGTCTCGTTCCCCGTTCATGGCGTCCTCTAATTCTGAGTAGCCCGTTGCCTCGACTGGTCCCAGTTGTGGTCCAACGAGTGGAGCGTTTAGTTTTGGATTGCTTGGTAGTTCAATAGTTCGTGACGTTTCCGTGGATGGAAGCTCTTCCGCGTGTAGCTGCACATCTTTCAAGCAGTCAGAAGTGCTACAGATCAAAAATCGACCGTAAGGTTCGCGTACCTTTTGCTGTAATATTTGTAGTAGAATTGTTGGATATTAAATCTCCAGAAGGCTGTAGCCTATGATGTCAGTGACTCTCCCAAATTTCAATTGCATTAAATAAAACACTCAGCTTACGTTCGAAGAAGTCTGCGGGTTGTCAATCTGAAGTGAGTCCTCCTCATCGCTGCTTCCATAATCTACTAAACCTGCCATGATTATTGTATTGCGAGTGGTTTCAATGCGGAAGGATCATTTGAATATACCGACACACAAGTGATAAAATAAACTTCTTTATTACTTTAGCTATTAGGACTGGACTGGTAGTAGCTTTCCGTGCTCCAGATTGGCTCTCGGGGCTATATCCCGATATTTGGCCTCAGGTTGCAGAAGGCGCGTCCCGAGCTCTGCCTGGAACAACGAGAGCTTAGGTTCCTCAAGCTCCAACACTATCAATAACTTTACCCCCATGAACATTTGAAGATACCACACCATACTTTAACAACCTTTCAATTCCAATAACCCTTCAAACATCATGAATCACCTTCCGCAAGCTTGGGGCCGTGTAAGTATAAATATACTCTCAACATGAGTGAGATATACTCAGATTACTGACATTCAAATAGCCTAGAGACGATGTTTATGGTGCATATGATGCTTCATATCTTCAACAAAATGGACCAAATCAACACACTCAATCACCCATCGTCACTGGTACATCGGTTGTGGCGTTAAAGTTTAAAGATGGTGTCGTAATCGCAGCAGATAACTTGGGTATAGTCCATAACTATAAGCTCCAAATGCATCTCACTAACAATTCTAATAGCATCATATGGTTCTCTCGCACGATTCACAGACGTAAAACGTCTTCGAAAGTTCGCAGATACATCCGTTGTTGGATTTGGTGGCGACGTATCAGATATGCAATACCTGGACCGCCTTCTCCAGTCCCTCGATACCGAAGAAGCATACGGCGCATCAGGTCACACCCTCAATGCTCATAATCTCCACAAATATCTCTCCAAAGTCCTTTACAAGCGTCGATCCGATTTCAATCCCTTATGGAACACTTTACTGGTTGCAGGATTGGATGAACATGATAAACCTTTCTTGGCGAGCGCCGATTTATTGGGCACCACATTCTCTTCTCCAAGTTTGGCTACTGGATTCGGTGCGCATTTGGCTCAGCCGTTGTTAAGAAAGGTTGCACCAGATGAGGAGGCTGCTGCGAAGTTGACCAAAGAAGTGGCTTTAGAGGCAGTTAAAGAGAGCATGAAGGTCTTGTTTTACAGAGATGCTAGGAGTATGGACAAGTATTCGATTGCGGTTATCACAAAGGAGGGTATCGATTTGAAGGAGAACGAAGAATTGGAGAAGCAAAGTTGGGCTTTCGGTAAGATTTCAAGTATTAAACACTCCGTGATAGTGTGCTAACAGTCAAATAGCTGAACAAATTCGGGGATACGGGACCCAGGTCAACTAAACGAATGATTTTAATATACCTTGCGCTGTAAACTAGACAATGATGAAATGAAGCATATCAAGTTTTGGGGTTCCTTGCCTCGTGGTTAACAAACACCATCCATCCCATCTCCAAGTCATTTCCTCAGTCATTTGAATATCGTTTTGATTTTTGTCTTTCCCGTAGGTGCAAGATATCGTGTCAAATTCTGAAAGTCTCGGAAGTCCATTCTTGCCATGGGTTTGTGGAATCTCAAGGATTCAATCTCCAAACGCACTGCTGATATGAATAGCTAGGTAGGTGCATTCAACTACCTCTTCCGGCCTCTCACTTCAGAATTGATGATGCAGTGAAGTTTGTTCAGTGAAGCTCATATGTCAACACTAATGAAGGAGTGTTCTGCTACAAAGAAAGGACATAAATGCAGTTTTTCTACTCCTTAGGTTGCGCTCACACATATCTAATTAGTAATCACCTAGAATTTTCAAACACTAAAAGGCTACGAGTATTGCTGTTTATATAGATAGGTAGCTGTTTTCGAGAAGAACAGCAATCTCGCGTTATCCAAACAGCCAAGTAACATGTGCATGTCCTAGCCCCACTTAGCTTCGACACTCCATGAATGTCACCCCTACCCTCTGATTGGTCAAAGTTATCCTCGCCAAAAGTGTAGGGAGAAACTGAAGCAAGAGGACTGCTTTCTTATATAAAATATGATGTTCTTATGGTATGCCGTTTACTTTTTCTAAGATGTTACTTTTCTTCAACTTTCTTAATTGCCATATTTCTAAGAACAGAAGTTCTGTTTTCAATAAGAAAATTTTCAAAACGTTTAGTCCAACAAAAGTCTATTCAATATGACTAAAGTCCTCGCCTCTGAAGATATTGTCGCTCCAGAATCTATCAACCAATTCCAAAAATCTTCCTCGGATGTCCCATCTCACTCTATGGACATTGAGAAGAACTCCCACCTCCAAGTTCCATCTAAACCTCAGGATGATTTCCAGACAAATCACCAAAAAACTTCCCTTTTCAAAAGTTTAGGGTGGCTTGATCGACTCCTAGCTTTATGGATCTTTCTCGCTATGGCTATTGGTATCTTGCTGGGAAATTTTGTGCCAAATGTCGGGACTGCGTTGCAAAAGGGAGAGTTTGTGGGTGTTAGTGTGCCGATTGGTTCGTGCTTCTTTTCTTCCTTCTTGGTCTATAGTGAAGTATGATAACTGAGGATATTGACTTGAGCATATAATCCGGAGGAAAGGCTAAGATGTATCAATTTGCTCTTCAAGCTAATACAACAGTGAACATATAGCTGTATGTTTGTTGGCAATGATGTATCCAATTCTTTGCAAAGTCAAATTCGAAACCCTACATCTTGTCTTTCAGAAGAAGGATATCTGGGTTCAGATCGGATTTAGTTTGGTCGTTAATTGGATTGTTGCCCCATTGTTGATGGTAATCAAAACTCCCCTACCTACCCTTGACCTTGTTACGAAATAGCTAACGAGAACTCACATACAGTTAGCTCTAGCATGGGCCTTCCTACCCGACAAAGAAGAGCTTCGATCTGGTCTGATACTTGTCGGAATAGCTCGCTGCATTGCCATGGTATTTCACCTTCCTCTCATTTCATGCTTACAGCTTAGTCGACTAATCCATCCTAGGTCCTAATATGGACTGGTCTAGCCGGCGGCTCAACTTCGTACTGCGCTATCCTCGTGGCCATAAACAGTCTATTGCAAATGGTGCTCTTCGCCCCACTCTCTGTGCTTTTCATCTCCGTCATATCAGGCGCCGAAGGCCCTGCCGAGTTCTCCTACTCAACCATCGCCTCCAGCGTAGCAGTCTTCCTCGGCATTCCTCTCGCAGCCGCCATCCTCACACGTTTCCTCCTCCGCAGCCTCGCATCTCCCTCCTGGTACGACACTGTATTCCTCAAATACCTCTCGCCTCTCTCTCTGCTGGGTCTCTTGGCCACCATCTTGATCCTTTTCGCAAGTCAGGGTCAGCATGTTATTCAGCAGATAGTTTCAGTTGTACGAGTTGCAGCCCCTCTAATCTTTTACTTTGCGATCATCTTCTTCTTAACTTTATTTGTGTGTGCGAGGATGGGTTTCGGATATAAGGTTGCCACGACGCAAAGTTTCACGGCGGCAAGTAATAACTTCGAGCTGGCCATTGCTGTGGCGGTTGCAACGTACGGTGCAGATAGTGAACAGGCGTTGGCTGCTACGGTTGGCCCGTGTATGTATTCTGAAAACGCCTCGTTGGGAAGATTTTTACTGATATTTTCCTATAGTGATCGAAGTGCCAGTGTTGCTGGGGCTGGTATATGTAGTAAGGTGGATTGGGGAGAGAAGAGGATGGAAAGATTAGAGTTTGGAGTGGAGTAGAAGTTGGGTGTACACCTAAATAATTCAATTGAGAGCATCACTTGCATTCTTTGGTGCGCTCGGGGGTGTATGAGGGAAGTAGTGGAAATATCGCATCTCAAATCTTTCACAAAGTAATACATAATTCATGACCAGACACTGGATAATATTGCATGCTTAGCTCCCGATAATCCTTAAGCATCGGGAAAAATAGGCAAGTATCATCACTGATAATTATGTTCATTCTTGCAGTAGGTATACAGTACATATCGTCAGAGAATTGCATGTACATATGATGACCACCAATATATAGCAACACGCCAAGCAACACACCTGGCAACTCCAACGCTAAGTAATCCGTTGCAAATTCCAAAAAGGGAGGACGTAGGTATGTATGATAGTGACACACTACAGATTCATTCATCACTATCGTCACTATCCACAATTCTCCGCTTGTTTCCTCTTCCCCTTACATCGCCATCCCTCTTCCTCGTAAACATGTTCGGCGTCGCTTTCTTCCCACTACTTAATACACTACTAGATGGGAAATCTACAGTTTTTTAGTGACTGTATCACCTCTGACGAGATCTTCGATGGTAGGTAAGTCATCATCGCTACTATCTTGTGTCATCGCAGGTACCGATCTCTCAGAAGACATATTCTTAGCTTTATCCCTCTCCAATGCCCTTCCCAACAATCCGCCTTTTCCTCTCCCCTTTTGTCTCTCATCTCCATCCCATCTCTCCATCTGTGGTGGGCTTGATGAGAAGTTGGACGTCCCTGTAAGGGTGATCTGGGTTTGGATTTGCGTAGGATCGATAAAATCAACCAGACTTCCCAGATCCGAATCGTCACTCGCTTCTAGATCTTCCATGTCGCTGGTTCTGTCAACTCTTTCACCTGGCCCTTCTTCTTCGGAATCAGGTGTTGGTTGAGGAATCTGAGAAGAGCGGAGATTCGATACCATGGCCATGGATGCGGTACTATCTTCTGAGTCGGAACTCTCGTGTTGAAGAGGGCGGTTAAGACGTGCTGGAGCCTTTTTGGATATGGCTTTTCTGGGTGCAGGTGTTTTCTTGGGCGCGGATGTGGTTTTGGAGACTTTAGAAAGTTTCGGCACTTGTGCAGGTTTTGGAGCTTTAGGAACTTTGGGAATTCTAGCGAGTAGTTCCGCTTCTAGTGGCATCGTTGGCATTTTACCGAGGTCAGATGGTGCTTTATCTCCATATGGTTTGATATCACGGTTCTCAGGTGCTTGGGATCTCGAAAGCTTTCTGAATAGATCAACGCATTTTCTGGTGTATTTTCCGTGTGAAACCCTAGCTGTCATGGTTAGAGATCGTTGTGTGCTAGGCTGAGCTGTCAAATCGGGCATCTCGACCTCTTCCAAAGCACCATCTGGCACTCTTAAAAACCGGCGATCAAGCTCTGCCATATCCCTCTCGCTTAGTAACACGGAGTCGAGTAAGGGCACTGGCGCTAGCTCATCATCATCCAGCTCACTAGGCTTTCGTTTGATGCGGAAAATTGCTGAAGTGGAGTCCGCAACACTGCCATTGAGTTTTGAGGCGTTACGAAAACCCGTTTCAACACCATCAGGCATATGGAATTTTTTGGCAGGCTTCTTCTTGGCTTTGGCACGCCGTTTCGGTTCCGGCAAAGATGGATCTTGGGTATTCTCCGGAGGAATTTCAATAAACCGTTTTTCAACCTCAGGCTTAATGTCTCTCGGAATGATACGAGCAGATAAATCGTGGCGAAAAGTGAAGCGAGAACCAGAACTAATCATTCTTTGCATCTGCTCATAATTGTCCTTCGACTTCTTGTATGAATCTTCCTCCTTCCCGCGCATGAGAAGGAGAACAATCTTACCAGCTCTCTTTCTTCCTGTACGTCCCATTCGCTGCAGCATCCTAATAGGGGATGAAGAAGAGTCATAACAGACGATCAGGTCAACTTCTCCAATATCTAAACCCTCTTCACCGATACTGGTTGCAACTATAACATTTATGCCCCCTGCTTTGAATTTTCTAATAGTTTCAAGCTGTTTCTCCTGATTCATACCTTCTGAGCGCTTCGAGTCGCTTTGGCCCACGAAGACAGATGCTTTGATCATTGGACCATGTTTGTTGAGTACCCGTGCTATATCTTCAGCACTATCACGGTATTCGGTGAAGACAATTACTCGAGTACTTGAAGGTGGCACATTGTCACCCGTCAACCCAGCGCCCGCGTCAAGGAAGTGATTCAGCACTGTATCGCACAGATGAGTGAGCTTTGGGTGACCAATAAAGTCTTCCTTATTAATCCAACTTTGAATCCTGTCCATCATCTTCTTAAAGTCTGGATCATTAACGACTTGGTTTTTATATTTCCCACCCTTTTTGTTTCCCTCGACCTCTGCTCGGAAGTCCTTGATATTCGAAAAGAACGGCCCGATTCCATGGAAGTTGAGAATTTTGATTGCATGCCCCATACTCGTCAACACAGTGAACAAGGCATTCATCATTCCTTTGACGCCCATGTTTGCAGTCTTACCTGCACCAGATGCCATCCACGTCTTTCTAGCTGTTAGCATGCCAAACTGAGTGAGTGACATAGGATCCCTATTGTAATAGGCTTTCTGCGAACATAACAAATTGACAAGCGGCTGAAGCGCCTTGCTAAAGAGGTCTCTAATCATAATGATTTCATCGGAAGGATCTATGAGAATCTCAGTGATATCTCGCCGATGAACGTACTCCTTAATGTCAATAGACTCTTCTGTTCGAATTTCAACCTCAGCAATCTCCAAATTATCGATTACCTCCTGAACTGCTTCCACGGTTGATCCAGGGGTGGCTGTCAAAGCGAGAACACGAAAACTCTTATTGAATCTTCGTAGAAACTCGACAACTTTAGTATATGCGTATTTTCCGGTTGCTCGATGCGCTTCGTCAACAACTAGAAGTGCGATCCTCTTAGGGTCAGCTATACCAGTTTTCAAATCATTTTCGACAGTCTGTGGCGTCATGAAAAACACTCTCTTTTCATCCCATTCTTCAGCTCTTAAAGCTGGGGTCTGATCTCCTGTCAGCATAGTCGTTGATGATCTCGGTATGCCCGCAATCTCGAAGCAAGCTTTAACTTGCTGAGACACCAGAGGTTTTGTTGGTGCCATAAAGACTATTTGTGAATCTTTCGTCCACCGGAAGAAGTTGAGCATGATGGTCGCTGCGATAAATGTCTTCCCGAGACCTGTTGGTAAAGCCACCAAGAGATTATTAAAAAGTCCCTTATGTACGATGGTGTATTGATATCGCCGTTCTGGACCTAGGTTGTTTGGATATACCCATGTTTTGATAGCCTCTCGGTCCAAAGAATGATGTGTCGGTGGCTCTGGTATCTTATCTACCAAATAATTATGCACTTTTTTAGCTTGAGTGGAAGATGGCGCCTGGTTTGGAGCGCGTCCACCAAAGAGTGTAGTTTGGCGAAGGCCATTCTGTGGTGCGACCAGCCGCTGAGAACGAACTGATTGTGTAGATTCGAATGGCGGCGATGAGTTTATCGTAATCAAACCAGTTGATATATTTTGTTGTGGCGGGCTTGGAGAGAAAGCATCGGACGGTAAATCCTCGAGCTCTTTGGAGAAATCATAGGCGACGGCTGGCGCGGGCTGGGGAACAATATTCTGTTTCTGGGCTTTGGTAGGCCGGAACACAGAAGCCAATGTTGGTGCGGGCTTAGGCTCTAATTCTGGTGATGGGAGTGGTCTCGGCCTTTTATATATAGGACCTCTAATTCTATAGGGACTCGAATCGGGCATTCCATCCGCTTGTGTCGCCCCCATGATGACTGCTGCCGGTACTTCTTCTGCGCCGAGATGTATCCTGTATTTCGACTGCTTTTTCCCGTCTCCTTCATCATGGTCGCTAGATGTAGAGCCTCGCGATCTACGTCGTTGCTGGATTGAGAAATCATCATCATTGTAATCGTCGAGCTCTTGGCCTGAGCTGATTCGCCTTCGTTTTCTGCGATGAGGGGAATTGGATGGTAGAGTTTGCGACGCTTGAGTCAATGCTTCGGCTACATCCCAAACATCTTCGTCGATATCTCCATATTCATCATCCGACATCTCTGTCAAGTTTGAGGTGTTTCCTTGGTGTGTTGGTTGGAGCCATGAGAAAGCTGTCGCGATTATTGAAATGGCCAAATCGCGTTCCTTATCGCAGTTGCTGATTGGGGAAAGCAAAATCACGTCAACACGTGACAATATAAGGTTACACTGAAGCTATATTTTGGTAGTTTGGCTTGCCGTACAAAACTCGCTTTAATTGCATTTAATCGCAGTTTCTCTTTCAATCAAAAGACTTCAACATAAAGATAAATATCAATCTTTGTGATTCAATTTCGTTACGTGGACAGTTTCTAAAGCCAACATTCTGATTTCTGTGCAATAGAGTGATATTAACGTAGTGCAAAATGAGGGATTTTGAGGGTTGAGTTATTTTTCAGATACTTGTGAATATCTACCTACCAACGAACAAACACTCAAGGGTGCCTAATCGGTATTCCAAAAATGGTCAATAAAAATACCGACAAAATGATTTCTATTCCGAAAGACCGATATTCATCGTGGTTTTGTTATGGCGCCATATTATAGGTATCAAATCACCGGAGCATTTTTGAGAGCGCGAAATAACTATGGCATCTAAACCTGAAAAGACCATCCTCGAAGCCTCTATGGGCAGCTACATGAGAGTACTAAGAAACCATAATACTCCTGAAGAGCTTATTGCAGCCTATCCATCATTGAAGGAAAATAGCCTTTCCTGCCCCTCCGCTCTGACGGATAAAGTACGGCGCGTATTTTTCGATCTTCCTGATGTGGATTTGGAGACAGCGAATATCAAAGCGGCAACAGCTCTTTAGCGTGCAGAGTTGATTGAGCAAGCTGTTACGGATCCAAGCAGCCTCACGCAAGAAGAAATACTACTGCTATCAGCCAGGTTTTGGACGCCTAGGACAGATGCGGAGCGCGAGGTGATCTGGGAACTCCTTTGTGAAACGGAAGAAATAATCATGGGAGAAGAAGGAGCAGCATTTGAAGCATCTAGAAAACCCACTTTCCTTCCCAACGAGCTAGAAGCGTTTCAAGCCGGATCCAGAGAGTGGTGTGACCGGCCCACCCGCGCAAGAAAAATGCAAGCCAATGCCATGGCCGAGGCCGCCCTGCCCGATGCTCCGGAATGGATTCGCCGTCTCTATAGAGAGGGGAAGGATTTGTGGGGTTTGTGGTTCTGTATGATGATGCGATGCAGGAGCTGGATGCAGAACCTCTGGAATATTTTCTGTGTCATTGGGGGGGGGAGGGAGAGGGGGTTCGTCAAATTTGCGTTAAAGTGCAATAGCTCGAAGGACATAATTGATGCAAAATGGTACATGATTTCATTTAATGCGCCGGGCTCTGCGGTTTTACCACATGTGTCTGTGGCTGGGACTGCTTTAGATGCAAGTGATAAAAGCAGTCAACAGAATGGTGTGATACTCAGACGCGCCTTTCGCGAGATCCTGCAGGATCCCCTGTAGTATGAGCAGAGAGCGGATGTCGCACCCAGAATCTTATTCGGCGGACAACGTCGGTTTGAACACTAGAAGGACGGACTTGCTTCTTCGGGTGTCAATACGAATACCTTTCTAGTCTTTGATCGCGTATGCATGGCCTCGGTTCTTGAACCCGGCAGATCCATCGAAAGTATGCGGATCCGTGCCTTTGAAGTTGACTATTCTGTGCCGGGAAAAACATGCACACGTGAGTGAGGCTGGACCAATTGGTGTATAGTTTCTATGAGTTGAAGTCGATGAAAGCAGATAAGGTGGGTGTGATGAGATATGGCAGGCTGCACAGCAAAGTCGGAGTGCTGCGTTTGTTAGTTTAGATACTAAGGAAGCAGGCAATTGGACACCGTCGAATCCGATGGGCGGCTTTTTTCCCTGGTAGTGTTTTGGGAAAGAGACGGTATGCTAAGAAGGAGCCGTTGAAATAACCTTTGCAGAAAGATGTGAGCGATTGGCAAGATATCGAAATCCAATGCATTTGCCTCATTGAGCTGAGATCTCCAAGCCACAGAAATGGGTTTTGATATCTCCACGTTGCCATTTTGTTCATTAATTCCAAGACTTTTGAGACATCTTGATCTCATTCTCTCTGCTCCAACCACCATTCTGATTTGTAGAAACCTGATGTAGCTCTCCTTTTTTCGCGGCGAATACGATTCTGTCTGTAAAATTCGATAATCATGCATGCTTCTCTTGTTCAGTTTTAGCTTTACACTTGTTGCACTTCCTTTTATTTTGCAAAAATAACCATTTGAATACATTGTTTTGAAGAGACGGAAGATATTTTTCTAAGAAGATGCACCTAGAAACGAGACGTGTGAGGAAGCGAGGCATTTTTCACCACACAATAGGTCAACAGCTATTTTGTCATAATTGATTTGAAGCTAAGACTTAGCAGACTATGCGAAGTCTTCAGAATATAGAACTTACTTCGATAACGGATGCTGACCATTATTTCAAAGTTTCATGTGCAAATTTCTCAAAGCGAATGATTGGAGAACAATCACCTACCCAGTCTTACGAATACTATCAGATTAGCTCGAGCATAAAAGAGAATATTCTATGGATCTCACGAATCGCGATTGACATTCACTGGTATTCTGCGCCGTCTGGAGCATTAAGAGAATAGCTCAAGATTTCAAAATTGACCAGTCAATTTCGCATCACCACTTTATCCTTTCAATCAACTCATATACCTACAAGTCACGAATGGCTCTATTGAATCTTAAACATACAACCAGTACATATATTTTAAGGAAACTATTCGTGTGCACTGGATTCTGCTAGGCACAAAGAAGTAACACTCGAAAATATTTTGTTATACTTTTCAATCTTCTGAAGTCAAACTAAGAAATAGCGATATGAACCGCGGAATTTTGTTTGAAACGAAGATCTGTAGACCAATGTGTATTTGAAGGGTCTTTTCATTGGTCTGATTATAAGATTTGCCCTTGCAAGGACTGTATGTGTACAGTATCAAGCCCTAGTGTCACATCTATGTTGTCTTTTTCTGGCAGGTTGATAAGGGTACTAGTCGTTGAATTTAGGTTCCATCATCGACTTTGTTAACAAACATATGGTATTCTATGTATATTCCCAGATATTTGGATGAGAATGCGCCGGAGCAATAGAACTTTCCTCAAGAAGCCCGCTGCCTCCGTCCCCATTTTGCATCGGACTTTTGCACTCGGCAGATGGGAGGAGTGAGAAATTCCAGCTCGTTGGGTTTTACCTTTGTCTGGTCGCCTGGGCCAAAGAGCAGCAATGAAAAGATTCAAAATTGTTTGTCGTCATCGTCAAATTTTAATCGGTATGATCTTACTTCGAAGAAATGCACTTTTCCGTACGTACTCCTGCTGTGAATTCGCTGGAAATGAAAGTCGAATTCAATTCTGTTTATCCTCGATGCAAGACTCCGTATCCAAGCCGTGACTATAATTCTCCGAGCCGAGGGGTGTACGTAGCTACCGGTCGAATAATTAGTACATTAGGCATCGCGAAGGAATGCCCGGTGCTGCGCCAACATCTTAGTTGGGATATCAGCACTTTGGAAACAGGATTCAGTGTCCTGAGGGCCCCACGGTCATCTACATTGGTAGTACCAAGTACTATAAGTTCAAAATGAAATCTTGAAATGGCCCCCAAACACAGCATAAACTATCTATATGCATGGAGGCTCTTTGCATCAGCTTTAGGATCTTGGCTTATCCTTATCCAAAAATCAATGCGTGGTCGCACACCCACCCACCCACACGAGATTAAGCTTTTAGTGCATGAATATTCTTCCCATTGATCTCACAAAAAATTGCTTCCCTCGCGGTCGGCAAAGAATGAAGCATGATAAGGCCGTCGGCTTCCCGCTTCATCCAGTAGTGCGGCCAGTCACACACGCTCCCACTCTTTGCTGCAAGTTGCATGCCCCCGAAAATGTTTTCAAAAATGGGCCTCGATATTCTCATAGGAAATGTTTCACGGTTGGGAGCGACCGAGATGGTGTTGCAGGTGGCACGAAGTGTGACAGGTCGTGAGAAGGCTGTTGCAGAAGACATGAGCATTGTACCACGTTACCTGGACTGCGTTTTTGGCAGGTGTGGTTTTGACGTGTGCATTTTGACAAGAATATCTACCAAGTCTAAGATTCCTTCCAAATGGCTGCCTTAACCCCAAAATATGGTCCAATATACAAAAATTTATTGATCACACTGGTGATGTCTTCAAACTTTCCTCTAGGAGCTTCCCTTCCGCTCTTCGAGTTGAATTATTTACAGAGTTTGCTTTTTCTTCATCAATCCCCGCAGGTCCTGTTTCTGTAGCTGTTTCTTCTCCAGCGGTGTCTTCCTCGTCTGTCTCGTTTCGTATTTTGTAAATGATGACCGGCGCTGCGATAACAAGTGAAACAGCAAGAAGGATCCAGCAAATCAAAAATTCATTCATCGCAGAAATGTTTGAATTGTTTATGCGGTAACTGATAGCACCACCCGCAGACTGGATACCTTTGTAGAAACCGATGTAGATCGATGCCGTTCGAGTGTCGCTCGTAAATTTCCCCAAGATCCTAAAACATGTCAGCTGGAACATATCATCAAATACCAACTGATGACTCACCAATACACACAGTTTTGCCATATAGCATTGAAAATTCCATAAGCTACGTATAAAAACATCGGTCCAAGATAATGTGCATCATCAAAGTCCATTTTTTGATCCTCGGCGACAATATCTGTTTGATGATAATGCCCTTTTTGCCACATGTATCCACCTGTCCAGATTCCAAATGTTAGAAGTACAAGTCCAGTAACAAGTCCTTTTGCCCGGACAGACCGGCTCAGGCGATCATTATCCAAGGTATGGCCCACAAGTAGCGCACCTAGAATCTCTGATAGCCAATATAGAAAGTTATTCAGAGCTCTGGTGCGGATATTGAATGCTTTAAGGTTGAATGTGTTGAATTGATATGGATAACACCAATTCGAAGTGAGAAACATGGGGAATAATAGAACAATAAAATAGTCTTTGCGAACCAATTTGCAAAAATGCATTACTTCGTTTCGCCAGTCTGTTTCCACTGTCACTGTGATGTGAACGCGAGATCCATCCTTCCTTTTGACATTCTTGGGTTGGCACAGACAAAGAGACAATATCGCCCCAGCGAACATTAAAGCAATGATAGTAATGTATGTATTGTCGGAAGCAACATTGCCGGTGCTTGTTTGAAGCTCTTGACAAAGAGTAACCTTTGCACAAACTGTCAGATTGCCTTGACTGGAGAATAAAGTTACTCACAAGACTTCCTATTGCAGCACCGCTATTATAGATAGCCCAGAACCAAGAGGTAGAGCGCCCTTTATGGTCATCAGAGGGATAAGATATTAACATAGCCCCTTGCGATGCCCAGAAGGGCCCTGCGCATACCCCTAAAAACGCTCCTCCAAAGATCAAAAAGCCTCGATTTTCGATGTGTTTATAAGCGAGAAAGCTACCGGCGTAAACCGCATATGATATACCACCAACGAATAGCGATGCCTTGAGTCCAATTATATTGACGATGAAGCCGGCGAAGAACCCTACAACTGCAAAACAAGCGTAAAGTGCGATATTCGACTCATTTGCCGGGCCAGGGGCCACCAACCCAGCTCCGCCAAGCCCATTGAGAGCATTGAACATACCAGGACATAGTAGACAAATGACTGCAACTATTGATAGCTGAACTGACGGTGAGGTGATTGGAGGAAGTCGTAAGAAACTGAATTTGCAAGTATGGTGTATTAGGGAAATTTCGCCTGACAGACACGGAGTCTCAAGGTAACTCGAACTAGTGCTATGCTCATTGCTAGGTCTACTTGTGATATGAGATCGCGTGATACTCATCTTTCAGAACCGATGCTTTAACACGATGACGAAGAGGGTGGTGTTCTGAGGAAAGAGAGCATCACTATCTTCCCATGATCTTACTATATCAAGAAAAGACTTAGCAGTGATCCCCCTCGTACCTGCCCTACATATTCAACGGGGATTTTCGAAAAGTGGAGATATCAATACAATCACTATAGCCTGTCAGTAGGCGAGTAGACATATTATTTGTATACGTAATCAGACGAGAGTGCAGTAGCATGTATGTAAAGATGAGACAAAAAATCCCATTTCTGTCATGTTGCATGTGTTTCTACAGGATCTTTGCGGGTTACCCCAGGATAAGCGGGAGTAACGGATCGGCCGTTGAACATCATCACAGTCGCTGTTCCACTGGGAGAGCCTAGTAACTCCAAAATATGATATCGGCCCCCACTATCCGAATGTTGTGTTTTTGTCAAGCTGAAAAATTACTATGTAGTTCCACTGCGACCCAAAAACCTAAGAGAGAGAAGGAGGAGGGCATAACCGAATACCTGGTAAAAGGAAGGAAGGGCGATGTTGAGAAACTCACGTCACGTGGTTTCCAAAAAATATATCTTCCTCGATTTGATGTTACATGAAATCGAGACAATCATCTCATCTCATCGTTGATTCACTCGAAACTCTACGTTATAATTTTAGTACCTGCAACCTGATGCGGAATATTGATTCAAGGTTGGGTCCAGTTCCATCTTCTCTCATTGCCCGTTCCAAGTGCACATGCATCTGTTGATCATGTAGAAATCAGACTAGTAAAGCTCAAATTGGTTGGAATTACTTGGAAAACGGAGAGCTCGGTTACTCTCTAACATTGAAGTAGAAGCCAAACTATCCTGAAGTTTTTTTTGGAATGATCCTTACAGTCAGATTGGGTTTCAAATCACAATGTAATGTGCGTATAGGGTGTCTGCATTCTTGAGTAACGCCACTATGGAAGGTGGGTCGGGAGAGTAGCGTCGTGCTTCGAAGGAATCCAATCTTTTCTCCACAGATACCTCGCACATATCGTATATCGTACGACGCAAGTGAATTTTACAATAAAATACACATGGGTATGTCTGGCGCTTGGCACGTGTGCAGATGTATGAAAGCCAGTCCACTCGGTCTCCATTCGCTTGCCATCATGTGGGAAGTGACACTATCCCAAATCTCCACCTTATGGCTACTCACCGTATTCCTCGAGCCATAATTACTAGTATATGAATATCAAGTTCGATACGGAGGCTCTAGATTGCTCCCGTGTGAAACCTATCTCCACCACCCCGCACCCTCACATTCGCCCCATAATGGGAACTATGTATCGGGTTCATTAACAGATATCTGAAAATAGAGTCGACTCAAAACAAACAGTTTTGCAGATGCCAATGGTCTCTTACTTCGATCCTTTATGTCATGGCATCTTCTTTTGACTGCTCGTATTTCTTGTTATCACCAACAGGATTGTGCCGGCAAAGTAGTTTGCTATTCCCCGGCTCGCCATGTGTTTTTTTTTGTTGATTCTAACAAACGAGATAGTTGCTTCGTAATTTGCTAAATCGCGGCTTCGGATCGAGATGGTTAATATGCATCTTGTGGTGACGCGAGAATCTTGGACGCCCTTCTATCCTAGTCTCCCGCACTCTTGCGATCAAGAGTATACTAGGCCCCGATGCATTCGGAGAGCCCCTTGCAACTATTGTTGTCGCCTCTATCATTATTATCTTATAAATTGAGTTACGTTGTCCGTGTCCCGCATTTCTTCAACACCATTTCACAGATCTTGTACGCTTACTAGAATACTTGAAAACCACACCTTTGGCCCCCAATATTTTTTCGACAACCAGTATGAAGATCTCTCTTGTTGAAAAAATGCTTCCAGCGATCCTCATCTTGAATGACCGCTACTATCCGAGTTCTAAAAACTCCCCTGCTAAGGTTGGGGCGACTGCTTTTGCGTTACAAGTGATACGAGTTCTGGAGGACGCGGGGCTGTTTGGCGGCGTGATTCTCTATGATCGTCAGGATCACTTAGCGGCGCCCGTTGTAACAGCTTGTGACAAGAGATTCAACACCATGCGTCAAGTTGTCTTTCAATTTTGGCATGAACACTGTGCAAGTCCGGTATGCCTTATATGCCGCCACAGCTCTACTCGTGGCAAAGTTCTCACATAGTCTACCACCAATGCTATACTATCAGACCGACACACTCCTAAGATATCATCCGAAGCGTCTACCTTATTGCGTCACCCACCACGGACCTTTCTACGGCGATTTCACTCGCCACTTTACGGAAGGCCTTGCTGCTATAGCATATGGCTCCGAAAACAAAGCTTCTCATCTGGCAGGGACTCAGGAAGAGGGCTTGCGACATCTTAAAGCTTCTGATCATGCATACGTTCTACAGCATTCCAACAAACAAGGCGATTATCTCATGGAGCGAGGTATCGATCCTGCTCGAATTCGAGCACTCAATCCACCGATCCATTCAATGAGAATCTACCACCATCATAAAACAGCCAACATCGAAGAACTTGTATTCTTTTCATCGAGTGAAAGAAATCTCATCTTTACCGCCGTTGCTCGTTTAGATTATTTCAAGAATGTAGAGCTATTAGTAGACTCAGCGGTGTCACTCCTCGACCGTGGAAAACTTGTGCGCTTACTGATAGTGGGTGGCGAAGGGACTTCAGACACAGCGTCAGCGAGATTGATAGCCCGCGTCCCACAAAAACATAGCGCTCATGTCAAGATCACTTCCAAAATTCCGAAGGACGACATGTATGCACTCTTTGATTTTGTACGAACGCAGGGAATATTCGTGTGTACATCACGTTATGAGACTCTTGGGATCACTCCACTTGAGGCAGCCCTGAGCGGTGTAACGACAGTGATGCCTGACTGCGACCTTGTCGAAGCCTCACGTTATTTTCCCTCAAGCTTTCGCTTCGACCCTTCGGTAACCGGGCTTTCGCATGTGTTAGAAGGGTTCCTTCAAAATGCGTTGGAAGATTCTGGACGGGAGCTGCAACGCTTCATTAACAGCTTAATTTCAAAGGAGAGATTTGTATTTGACTTGCTGACGGCATGGTCCGAATTCTCTCAGCTTGCCCTCAAAAGTTTAGCCAGTTCAAACAGTACCGCCTATAATAAACCCACTCGACCATTGAAGATCAGAGGACGAAGATATTCCATGTAACAAATTTCGTGTATCTCATTTTTTCTACTTGACCGAATACGAAAGGCCTGTTTGGGCGTTTCGTTAGGGGATCGATTATAGTATAGCACCAATAGCAATAATGATATATGACTTTGACTCAAGCCACAATACAGATCTTGTTTACTCTGTATCCTTTACTAGTTGCTGAGCCCATACTGAATCTCACATACAATGTGAGAATATATCCATCCATCATGTGCGAAATCCAAATCCCCTTTCTGGGGCTGAACCCCGATCTCGATCACTGAGCGTTATACTTGGGGACAAACGCCAGTTGAACAAAAATTAGTACGAGCTGTTACTCCAGACTTCAACTCTGGTAGAACTGAAAGCCAAGAGGAAAGCAGATTGAACGAAATCCAGACGCCTTTTGCCCGTTACCGTCCAGAATCTTGCAATGAGGGTGCTCTGTAGTCTGCCCAGTTCCTTAGGTAATATAAAGCTATAATGGAACATTAGGACGACATGAGGAAAATGCTTGAAGCTTTGTTGGACAGTATGATGAACTCCATTAAGTTTCGCGTTCAAATCGAGGTAAACATACGTTGATGACTGGTGATGCTGTCAAGTTGCTTAGGTAATTTCTAGGCATTCGGATAAAAGCAATCGGATGTTTCCTTTTAAAGAATCGACTTTCATTGGCTGTAACATTCCAGGAATTGCAGTACCCACTGAAAACGCCGCTAGTAAAGTGCACCTGTAGACGCGTTCCTAGCTCTATGTAATAATCGTGTATCTGACGTTGAGGTGGAATTGTTAAACATGAAATTCTGCCCTCGTCAATGACATAGGTGAAAACTATGAAATTTATCAAGCCATCTTGGCTTTCTCACAGCGGTAAGTCTGCTTATGTTATCTGCAGATCTATCTACCCAAGAACTGGCTACTTGTATCGTTCTATTGATGTCGCGTTTGGCTAACATTTGCGCTCAATGCGCCTCGACTTCTAGGAGAGCAGAAAGACCACGAAGTCTACAGTCTCCATGTATCGCCCGATGGTAAACGACTGGCGACAGCTGCTGGAGGTAAGATGGAGCATTCTAATTGCCGCATTTGCAAAGACCATTGCTAAATACTCGAAACAGATGGCCACGTTAGAATTTGGTCCACAGAGGCGATTCTCGGGGCAGCGGGGGAGAATCCACCTGCAATACCAAGGCAATTATGTCATATGAGTTATCATTCAGGCACTATACATACTGTTCGGTTCTCGCCAAACGGACGATGGCTAGCTTCTGGAGCAGACGACAAGATTATTTGTATCTATCAACTGGATACGCAACCAGCAGCGCATTCTGCATCCTTCGGTACTTCTGAGCTTTCAATGTTGCGGCAGACAACAAGATAAATGCTGACGAGTATTAGGCACCAATGAACCACCACCGGTAGAGAATTGGAAAATTGTTAAGCGTCTGATCGGACATGATAGCGATGTGCAGGATCTTGGATGGGCTTACGATTCTTCGATAATGGTATCCGTAGGGTTGGACTCCAAGATTGTTGTTTGGTCGGGGCATACATTTGAAAAACTCAAAACTCTATCGGTCCACCAGAGTCACGTCAAAGGAATTACATTCGATCCCGCAAACAAATTTTTTGCGACTGCTAGTGATGATCGAACGATCAAGCTCTTTCGATTTACCTCACCGCCACCCAATGCTACTGCTTATGAGTGCATGAACAACTTTACTTTTGAGCACTCAATAGCGGCACCATTTAATTCGTCACCTCTCACGACATACTTCCGACGATGTTCTTGGTCTCCAGATGGTAACCACATAGCCGCAGCAAACGCAGTCAACGGGCCCGTGAGCTCCGTTGCAATTGTGAATCGGGGGGCCTGGGACAGTGATATTAACCTAATTGGCCACGAAGGTCCGGTGGAGGTTTGCACATTTTCGCCGCGTTTGTTTAGCAAGAGCGAGTTCACCTCGGAAACTACGGATCAAAATGGTTATAGTACACAGCCTCTGGTTACGGTAATCGCCTGTGCTGGACAGGACAAAAGTTTAAGTATCTGGAATACCAGCAGCTCTCGGCCATTACTTATTTGCCAACAGTTGGCCAGAAAGTCAATTTCTGATCTTGCTTGGTCACCAGATGGACTTTCTCTCTTCGTCGCGAGCTTAGATGGTACGATAATTGCTGCACACTTCTTGAAGGGCGAGCTAGGACATATTGCACCATTGATGGAAAATGAGAAAGCTTTGAATAAATTTGGTGGCAATCGCAAAGGCGCTGGTGTTGTTGAAGACGTGTCATCAATCCAATTGGAAGAGATAAGCAGGGCCGATGAACGTCAAAAAACAGAAGGAAAGATGAGCGCTCTGATGGGAGGCTCCGGTCCAGTAGTGGTCAATAATGGAAACTTGTCGTCAACCCCAATGACTGGGGTAATCAATGCAGCCCCAACTACGAATGGCAAGGCTGCACAACAACCAGAGACCCAACAGCCAGCACCAGCTGATCCCAATGCAGATAGATTGGACGCTCTAAAACAACGAGTCACAATTACGAAAGAGGGTAAGAAGCGTGTAGCGCCCTTACTTGTCTCTGCGTCAAGTACAGGACTGTCATCCTTACCCCAATCTCAGCTCATGGCGTCGAGCTCCAACAATGTCCAGAATGAAGCCCCAGTATCAATATTAGATTTATCCAAACCTTACGAGGGACTCCCAAGAGGTGGTCTCACGGCTATGCTGTTAGGCAATAAGAGGAAAGCCATTGTTATGGAAGGCGATGAAGAAGAGGACGATGATGAATATCCTAACAAGCGATCAGCGCCAGATGCTGGACCCATTCCGATAGTAATCAATGGGGTCAGTGGGCTGGAGAATGCATTACCAATACCACCGGTCAATGGTGTTGTTCCAACTCCAGAGTTCATTCGGCCAGCTGTTGTCAACCCATCTCTGTCGGTTAGTCAGGTACGCTTAGCAGTACCGAAAATCAGAAGCCACGTCGTCAGATCCCTCAACCGTGGCAACCTTGCATCAGCAAATGGTAACGGTGCTGGAGGATCTGATGAGGGTGCAAAACTATCCGAGGATGTGATATTGGAGGCCCGGAATCCCATTGTGATAGCGCCTGTTCAAGTCAAAGACCCTTGCCGAATCAGCACTATCAAACGAGTTATCACACTATGGCAAGACTTTCTTCCTAGGGCTTTCATCTTAGTCACAGGCAACAAGAATTTTTGGGCGGCCGCTTGTGAAGATGGAAGTATTTACACATGGACCCCTGCGGGTCGCAGAATATTCAATGCTCTCGTGACTGAATCTCAACCAGTCATCATTGAATGCCGAGGCTGGTGGTTACTCTGTATTACAGCTGTTGGAATGTGCCATGTTTGGAACCTCAAAACTCTCGCCTCGCCACATCCGCCTGTCTCCATGGCGCCAATTTTAGAAATTGCCATGCACTCATTAGGCACGCATACAACATTTGCTCCAGGTGTAACATCGGCCCATCTTAACTCGACTGGTCATATCATCGTTACACTCAGTAACGGTGACGGTTACATGTACTCCCCTAAGATGTTCGTTTGGCAGCGATTGTCTGAAGCATGGTGGGCTGTCGGTAGTCAGTACTGGAACTCTAATGACTCCTCAATCAGTCATTTGCAATCTACGGGGGTTGGTCCCGAAATTCGTAAAGACGGTGAGATTGATAGCTCAAACTTATCGGCGGGGATCATTCCTCACCTAGAAAGGCATACCACCGGTGAAGTGTTACTTAAAGGTAGAGCCTACCACCTCCAACGACTCATCAAAACATTACTCTCCAAAGATGGTTTCGAGGGCTTTGAATCAGGCGTCAGCATTGCTCATCTCGAAAATCGCGTTGCTGCTGCCTTGCAGCTTCAAGCTAAGGACGATTTCCGCCTCTACCTGTTCATGTACGCGAAACGACTCGGGGCAGAGGGCCTCAAGAACAAGATTGAGGAACTTTTGCGCAGTATCATTGGTGGAATTTTACAAGAAAAAAGCGATCTTTCCATAGCTGAAAAAGGCGAAGGATGGATGAGTGAAGATGACCAATTGTGTGGATGGGACCGGAAAGAGCTCCTGAAAGGAGTTGTACTAATATTGGGTAAGTCTCTCTCTTCTTCGCTCATCTAATTATATCAAGGTCTATATGCTAATTTGCCTGACAGGCAAATATCGAGATTCGCAGAGACTGACGGTACAATATGCGAGAGTTCTCGATATGGTCGACCACGAGACTATCTGAGCAACAATTTTTCATGGATGGATGGATGGCTTCATTGCAGCGGCGTTGTGGATGGATGATTGGGCTTTATATGAAGGGATATCTGGGATCGGTGTCCTTGGTCTTGGCTTGGCAATTTCGCCCGTGTGCGAATATCATGTAATCATTGATAATACCCTGTATGTGATTATGAAAAGCGTTTTGAAAATATTCTTGTTGGGGTGTTTTCTAGTGTGAATAATATGATATCGATCTTGGATATGACAGATTTGTTCGGCAAGGATTTTCAACCACGCAAAAGGGTCGTTGTGACTGGTGCATCTGCGAGACCATTGGTCAACGCATCTCTACCAAAACACTCGGCACAGACTAAGTTGCGGGAGCTAGATATTAGACTCAGAACACACTGTTTTGTTGCACGTCTATATGGTTGTACAACTAAAATGGCGGGGAATTTAGTTCGATGTGGGGAGCTGGCTAGTGGCAAATGAGATACTATTATACCTATTACCTAGTACGAGTCTGCAAAGAGAAGAGGCATGATGGTAAAGAATACTTACTGCATCATTCATTGCTCGTTGCAAGGAACTACCAATCTTCAAATGGCCATAAGATTTTTATACTAGCTGATGCACAAAATACGTAGCCTTTATGAACCAATAATCCCTTCGAGAGCGAGAATCTCGAGGTCTAGACAGCGAAGTTATGGATAGTCTAGAACCTACATGTCAAAGATTCGGAGGATAAAGAATGACTGTTTCCGAGTC